TATATATATATATATAAAAGGATGGTTCAAGCGACACTAGTGTAATTTTTACTAAGTGTTATATCGCTCAATAACTTTAAATTAAATGTGAATTTTGTAAATCTAACCGTTAGATTAAAAATTCATATCACTTTATATGTGTATATCAAATTTTGTTAAAATTGAACAACAACTTGAAGGTAATCAAAGTGTTCATATTTTAGTATATTTTGAAATGTATATATTACGTTAATTTTTTTTATGAGAATGAAGTATCAAATCATCTTCAAAATTCACATTTGATATACACCGGTATAACTTTTACTAAGTTTTACACCGCTCAAGAACTTTATATAAATGTGAATTTTAAAAATTCAATCGTTAGATTGAAAATTTTTATCACTTTATATGTGTATATCAAATTTTGTCAAAATTGAATAACAACTCGAAGGTAATCAAAGTGTCCATATTTTAGTATATTTTGAAATTAATATATTACGTCAATTTGTTTTGTAAGAATGAAGTATCGAATCATCTTGAATTAATATAAAATTTTGTATATATGATCTAAGTGTAAAGAACTTTCAATTTTTCTATTTTGATTAATATGAACACTTTGATTACCTTCCAGTTGTTATTCAATTTTGACAAAATTTGATATGCACATATAAAGTGATATGAATTTTCAATCTAAGGTTGACTTTACAAAATTCACAATTAATATAAAGTTATTGAGCGGTGTAACAGTTAGTAAAAATTACACCAGTATCGTTTGAACCCTCATATATATATATATAAGTGTGTGTAGTAAAAAACTCCTAAGAACACTCTCTTGCAAGATATTTTTATCTAGGGGTTGATTTGTTCTATATAACAAAAATTTAAAATAAATTATGTATATAAATAAATATTATATTTAAATATATAAATTATATTTAAAATTTAAATAAATATATATATTTTTAAATATAAAAATTATATTTTAGATCTATGCTAAATAATTTGTATTATAAAACAAAATTATTTTCATTTATTGATAATTTATTTTTAAAATATTAAAATTTAATTCATAAATAAATTATGATAAATAAAAATTGAATTAGATATAAAGTTAAAAATTTTTGTAAGAATCATATTTTGAAAGAAAAAACTCTAAAAAATACTCTCGCGCAAAATAAGTTTTTATGTTTTATATATTAAAGTTGATGTTAGTAATATATAATAAACAAAAAACTTGTGCATTATGTAAAAATATTTTAAAAAAAATAATTCATAAATAAATATTATAAATAAAATAGGGTACCAAATTTACTACCAAATGAAAAATTAAATGCTCTTAAGCAAAATAATTTTTACATTAAAAGAATTTAAAAGATTAAAAATTAAATATGATAAAAAAAATTAAAAAAATCTCAACAAACACCGAATGTAAATTTATATAGGTGTTGATTGTACCTGCACCAAATGCCATCAAGTTTTTCGTTTAAGATGTTTCGATGTAACGATTTTTTTCATGAAGAAAATATAATTTTGAAGAAGGTCACATCATCAAGTCATCTATAGGTACCCATGGTGCTTCTTTTCTCCATCAAAGTACAAGATTCGTGTACATATTTCAATTTTTCAATTATTCCTCTTTGAAATTGCAGGTTTGATTAATTAGCTCTACCGAATTTTGAAAAGCTTGCAAACACACTTTTTTTTGCTAACTACTTTATATTTCTTTTGTCTATTGACCCAAAACTTCTAAGAAGGAAATCTTCTTGCCCTTGTTCAAAACTGATATGATCTTCTGACACGTGTCTCTCAACACAGCTTGTTAAAACCCCTATGGCAAGTCAATCTATGATAACTAAGAGAGCAGTATAAGACGCCCACGCATGCTATCAATTGGGCTAATTATCAGAGAATAGGGTATTGTTAAGCAACATAATGCACATGTGAACAAACCCAAACTTTCATCTCATATCCACAAGCAACCTCAACCAAATAATGCCTCGTAAGATTCTCCTATCTCTTATACGTCAAAACTTGCCAAACCTATCGCCATAGGCCGCACAAGAAATCTTGTAACACAAGTGAGAAAAGCCTTGTTTAGGTTATTTCATTTCAATGATTGGTATGCTTTGTGTATATATATAAGACTAATTGGTTGGCATTGAGTTGAAAGCCAAGAAGCTTGCAACTGTACATTGTGAGCACGTAGAAGATAGAACCAAATCAAGTATATATTTATATACAAGATATAAACATAGAGAAATTAAGAAAGCATTAAGAGATGAGCATGATACCAATCATTAGCAAACTATACTGTTCATCTTCTCAGACGGTGCTGGAGGTTAGGAAGAGGCCACATGTGGTGAATGGAGGGGGTTTTGTGGTCACGGATTGCAGTGGCCAAAGGGTTGTTTTCAGGGTTGATGGCTGTGGGATTCATGGCACAAAGGGACAGTTGATTCTAAGAGATGGTGAAGGAGATGCTTTACTTCTCATCCGTCGAAAGGTATACATAATGTATATATTTGTGTGCATAAATTTATTTCCATACAAGTTCGAGAGTTTTTCTATTAAAAATAAAGAAATCTTATAAAATTTCTTTTAAGTTAAACTTGTATTCTAACATACTTTGTGTAATAATAACTCTAGAACCTTGATCATTAATAAGTCGAAAGAGTCGTGTGATGTATGTAGCCACCTCGTATACATCAAATATATGAATCCTGTATTGTGTATGCATTGTGTACATATATATGTGTGGATGTTTGTTTAACTGTTTTAATTTGCTATATCTAGTGAGTTTTGCTTCTACACACAAACTCAAAGCAATTTATGTGAGAATGATTTGTTACACAAAGGTAAAATTTGCAACTTGAATTTTAACATTTTTGTGGTGTGCAGGGAGGCATGGTTGAGGCCCTTAGCATTTACAAGAAGTGGAGAGGTTATAGTCTAGACTATGAAGGATTACAGAACCTGGTTTTCAGCTTGAAGGAACCCAATTCTTGTTTGGTTAAGAACAATGGGATTAGAATCTCCAGTGAGCCAAAGGCTGCTAGTAACAAAGGCTGGGACTTTGAGATCAGAGGTTATTTCCCAGATAGGAGTTGTAGCATTGTTGACATTAGGGGCAATGTAATAGCCCAGGTACATAATTGATTATGCAACTCTTTTAATTAAATCTGTAAACTATAACATATACAATGTGTCATTATTATTTAGTTGTTAATTAATGTGTGTGATTCATTTATACACAGGTGGGGGTGAACAAGGAAGTGGAGAAATTGATGGCAAGTAAGGATCTGTATCATGTGGTGGTGAAACCTGGGATGGATCAAGCGTTTGTTTTTGGAGTCATTGCCATTCTTGACTACATTTATGGCGAATCCACGTATTGTTGAGTCCGAAATTGTGCAGGGCGTGCTATGTTTTGCTGAATTATTATTGTATAAAACAATTGGTTTACTCTTATAACAAATATGTATAATTTTGGAGAAATTAAGGGGATAATAAGCAACTGGTCTAGGAAAATGTCGTATATGATGGAAAGGAAATTGGACTGTTAGTTTACGTGAAGCTATTGTTATAATATCGTTAATTCGCTTTACTTGTTTGACAATGATGGATGTGAATGTAATTTAATTATTCCTAGTGCTTATCTATAGGCTGATATCGAATCTTTGTGTGAAATTGGATTGGTGATGAATGAATTTTAAAAGTTTGGGACTGAAGGACAGATTAATTAAATAAAATTAGGCACGGCGACTAACTTGGTTGAAAAGAATTCAAAGGATCGTGAATTCATGCGTGTACTATATTTAAGTAATGATTAGTTTCGTGTAATTAATATAAGAGATAATACTTGAATCGAAACCAATGCTTTATTTTCTCTTTAAAATATATAAATATATAGAGAAAAGAGAGATATACTTATTTTACTTAATTGCTCGTATTTTATATTAAATTTTAATAATTTAATTATTAAATTAAAAATTTTTAATACATAAAAAAATATACAAACTTTTTTTAAAATTAAAAAACTATTTAATATTTTATTTTATTAATTTAAATTGATAAATAATTATAAAAATTATTTAATCTTCATCCTACTTATGCTCATATATATATATATATATATATATATATATGAATGAGAAAAGATTCACTTATTTTTAGAAAAAAGATCTACTTACTTTAAAAGTTAGTTTACTTAAACTTACTCAACTTAGTAAATTAAGTTTTACATTAAATTCCAATGATCAAACCGCTAAATTTAAAGTTCTTAGCGCATAAATCAAGTTTGCAAATTTTTAAAAATTTTAAAAATTATTTGGTATTTTGCTCCATTAATTCAAATTGACGGATAATTATAAAAATATTATATATGTTGATTTGAATTTATATAACGGAGTATCAAATAGTTTTTAAATTTTTTAAAAATTTATAGACTTGATCTATGTATTATGAACTTTTAATTTAATGGTTAGATCCTTGAAATTTGATGTAGAAAAAATGAATTATTGAATGGTAAATCTAGGTAAGCTTACTTTTTAAGTAAGTGGACCTACTTACTTCAAGAGTAAGTCTTCATAAACTTACTTCATCCAATAACTCATGTTCTACATCAAATTTTATCTACTCAATTGTTAAATTAAAAAATTCTTAATAAAGAAACCAAATTTATAAATTTTTTTAAAAATTTTTTAAAACTATTTGATATTTCATTTCATTGATTCAAATTGATGAATAATCATGAAAATATTTTATACGTTGATTTGAATTTATTTAACAATATATCATATGATTTTCAAATTTTTTAAAAATTATTCTTGGAATAAGTGAATTGTTCCTCTCTGTGTAACGACATGACAGGTCACTACACTTAATATAGTACAACATTATCCAATGGAAAACATATAATAAAATCTACTAAATTGGGGTCATCATCCAACAATACTTAAACATCTATGCAACATATATATGTATAGAGTGCAAAAAACCTAAAACTAGCCCTACCAATTTGACTAAAAAAACATAAATCTCCTTATGGGATTACAACAAACCCTATACATATATACTAATACACATTTAGCATAGAATACTAGAAACACAAAGCCCTAGCACTGGTCTAGTGTCTTTGAAAACATGTTGTATTAGAATAGCTCAACAAAAAAACAAGTCATCTCCATGATGGAAAAGCAAGGGTTATCTTGTATACAAAGAAATCAACATATTATATAAAAACAATTAAGTTAACTATTAAAAACAACTTCATCTCTACTATACATCCAGAGCCATAAGCTCAACTAAACAACATAAAATAACACAACTAATCAATCATTTTGCATCTTAGTATACAACTTTACAACAAATCATCATAGTCACTTATCAACATAACAACTTGGCAACTAAGTATCTAACCATGCATACAATCTTCAACAATGTTAATATTGGATAGCACAACAACACATTATATAACTTAACAACATATAGCATATCATCATCTCAATTTTTCAATACAACTCATGAATTAACACATCAACATACCAATGCAAGTATACAACAACATGACAACTTTCCAACTTACAACATAACTCATCAACACAACATATTAGCAACACATTAATTAAACAACATAACAACTCATTCGTTGTCACACATTTCAACTAATAGATCTTTTACAACACAAGTGAACAGTCTAAGTAGTTTGACTCTACCGAATCAAACTTTAACAACCCAACCTTTTTGGCTTTCTAAGTCAACAACAAATTTAGATATCAATCCACAACACAACACGATTTCTTAGATTTCACCACTTAAGCTAGGAAAGTTCGGTACCTATCATTAGGAATAGTATTGCTTGGGTATGTGTCTATTACGATATTGGCATGCATTAACCAAGTTATTTATAAGCACAACTCGCTATTTATCCTTGCGATAGCATGCACCTTTTTTAATAATTAGTTAAAGATTTTCTCCCTTGTAGACACCCAATTTTGTCCGGGGGGCATGCAAACAACGGGATAGGACTTTACAGGGCACAAAAGCCCAAACAAGTTGATTTTAGAAGACTGGAACGGGCTGTTCCAAAATCGGAACGGGCCGTTCCCAATTTGGAGCGGGCCGTTCCAAGTTTCTAAAAGGGCCTAAAACCCTAAACTGGAACGGGCCGTTCCAAAATCGGAACGGGCCGTTCCAAAGTTGGAACAGGTCGTTCCGGGCTTTTTAAAGAAGGCTAAAACATACATTTGGAACGGGTCGTTCCCAAATTAGAACGGGCCGTTCCAAATAACAAAAAAGGCTTGATTTTTTAATTTGGAACGGGTCATTCCAGAATGACATTTATGTGTTAAACGTGCCTCTGGAACGGGCCGTTCCGATTTCAGAACGGCCCGTTCCAATACACTAAATTAACATGTAACGGCCAGATCCAGAACGGGCCGTTCCAATTTTGGAACGAGTCGTTCTGGACCCTGTCTGAAGCCTATAAATAGGCAGCTTGGGCACATTTTTGAGGAGCCCCAAAAAATTTCGTCCAGACTCCTTAGAGGCTCAAAATTTCTCTTTTTTTCTCTCTTTTTCTCTCTTTTGTATTTCTTGAGATTTTGTGAGGCATTGTAGTGTGAAAGGTTGCCACAAAGCACCTAAATTTCCATATTTGAAGATTAATAGAGCTTGTTCAAGAGGTATTTCAGCTAATTTTCTTCTCTCTCTTTTATTTCTTATTTTTGATAAATATTATTTATAATAAAAGCAATCATGTAGATATTTTAAAGTTAATTGCTTAATTTAAATTTCAAGCATGTAAATATTTACCAATAAAAGGGGATTTAATATTTATATTATTATTGTTTATAATATTAACTTTGTCATAGGGTACCGATTAAGGGTGTTGTAGGAGTGCTTAATACCTTCCCTACATGTAACCGACCGCCGAACTCAATTCTGGTTATCAAGACCATTATTGAATCTTTAAAAACCTTTTCTTTTTCCAATATTTTGAGTAAAACATTGGTGGCGACTCCATGAACCTATTTTCAAACACCATTGATTAAGGATTAGTCTGGCATCCAAGCATTCCTTAATTGATGAGACTTTTAAAAGGATGTCTAAACCATTAGTCGCGAGATCGGAAATTTTCGGGTTGCGACAGATGGCGACTCCACTAGGGACGTTTAAAGAGGATCAAGCCCATTTAATTGATGAAGTTAATAAAATAAAAATAATAATTTAAATATTTTTCCCTTTACTTTGTTTGTTTTATTTGCTTGGCTTTAATATCTATTTGCCTGTTTAAATTTTGTACTTGTTGGAATACAAATTGTACGCAAAACCTTTGCACACAACAGTTCCCCCTACACCCGGGGGCATGAGGGTATTAAACATAGGGAGTGGTTGACGTACGACCGGCCCAAGTTTGGCCTTGGAGCCTGCAAGCCTTGTCGAAAATCACACTCAAGGTGATAACCGGTTACTCTAGCCTGAAATACTACGACAGACCTTAGAGTTTGTCAGGTAACGGCGACAGACATACTGAGTCCCTATAATGGGGGCACCTTGGGGGCCTTAAAGACCAGTGAGATTAGAACCGTCCTATACAACACACTTTTCTTAACAGGGACTACAGACCAAAGATTTGAACACAATCGTTCGTGGGTGTACATTGATTGAGCATGTGTGTGTGCATTTGTTTGTACTATTTCTTCTAATAAGAGTGGATTGGAATTTTAAAATAAGTAAATAGATAATAATAAAATAATAAAAAAAAATTTATACCGCTTCTTACATTCTTAGGTCAGCATTCCATTAACATCATATATGTAGTTTCCTTTTTGTAAAAAAAAATCAATAAAAGAAGTCTCTTATTTACCATGCATCATTACCTTTTAGATAATAGAAACATGATAAAGATTAGGCAAAAAAAAGATGACATGCATTCTAGATTAGCTCATTAATTTCATTCATTTTATTTTATTAGCTAAGGAAGATTAGGTTGTAGCATGTATAGAAAGTTAAGAGAAGTGAATGCTCTAATATACGACAGTACCTGCACTCTAAAGAAAAGCCCAAATCAATTTTAAAAATACTATGGTGGGGCCCTTGCTTTGATATGTTTTTTTTAAGTAAGTCTTCTTAGAATCTAATATAGATTCTCGCTTAATACTGTCAAAATCTATTTGAGCATTCACAGATAAACAAATCAATGAGACTGATATTTATTATTCTCAACTTTCTATACATTCTGCATTACATTCATTTAGTGCATATCCCTCCTTGTAAAAGAATAAATGAGAATAAAAAGGGAAATTAACCTATGTGCGTTAGTCAGAAGTAATGGAAGCAAACCGTGCATAAAGAGTTTAGGGTAAATCATCAAGATGCCCTAAGAGGACAAAGCTGTGTCGTGCAACCGTGAAATTCAGGCGAAATAGGAAAGGACGAATCCACACTCCTAACGAGTTGTAAGCACCTGAGGAGGATGATTCTCTCAAACACTAAGGCAAAACGATTAGAGCTTTCTTGAAAGGTGATTTCAACAAGAGAGAAGCATTTCTTGTTAAGAAGCTGCTAGAATGAAAACCTACAAAGGGCGTTCTAGGCCAAAAAAAAAAAAAAAAAAGCAATGTTTGTTCAAGTTGAAAATCGAGAGATAGCTTGAATGTTTCTCTTGAGACTTCATAGTAAGCTCTATCATCGCTTCTACCCATTCCTATATCTCAGGAAAGATACG